GTAAATATGAATATAAAGTGAACATTGAAGTCAGCACTCAGAGGCGACAGGCTGTTTCATGCTGGATGCAATGGTCAGGCTGCATGACGATTGCGTCCAGCATGAAACAGCCTGTCGCCTCTGAGTGTTGACTTCAATGTTTACTTGTATATATATATATATATATATATATATATATATGTGTGTGTGTGTGTGTGTGCGTTGCTGTGTGTGTGTGATTTTCTATTTTTGTTTAGAATGGTTATTGACTTTCACTAGAAAGGAATGCAAATCATTTTCTTTGGTTGGCAGAGCCAAAATGTCTTGATGATGTCTAAAGAACGTTTAGAAATCATTACAATAGAGTAGACGAAAAAGTTTCAAGAAATAGGTTCTATCAAAGATAAGCCATGGCTTGGTAGACCAAGTATAAGTAAAAAAAATCCCTGACCCTAACCCTGCCGCCATATAACCAATTATATTTTTCTTATTACTTTTTACAGATTAATTCTATCATGTTTAGTTCCAAAACCATAAGTATTTAAAATTGCACACTCCCTGTATTGTATAAGTTTCTAATCCGATAAACATTTATCCTCGCATATATTTGCTGTTGGAGAGCAATCAATCCTCATTGGGTATCTTGTTAAGTAGTACCATAATAAATTAAAATGAGTAAATAACTGTTCGAGCAAATATTTAAGACCCAGCTGTTGGAGATTATCTAGTTACCAATTTATCATTTAAGCTGAGTAAATATCAATGACTAACCACTTAAGGGGGGACGTTTGTGTTACATTTGTTCAATCAGAAAGAGCCAGTTAATTTTTTCAGAGACATATAATGAGGAAAGAGAGACTGCAAAATTTGATACTCACAGGACATATTGAAAGCGAGGTGAGGCAGAGAGAAACGACGAGGAAATTATCGAGTTTATATAAATGGTTGGAAGAAATTGAACTGGGGGCAGACTGTGAGGGGTCAAATGTTATTTAGTGTTAAGAGGATAGAAAGCTGTAAAGAGCCATCATTGACCACACCCTGATGGGGAACGGCACAGAAAATAAGTGCGCCCTATAAATGTCTATATAGACGACTGCAATGACATTGAATAATATACCAGTCTCTCCCGCTATTTAATCCATAGGTAAGGGAAGAGATTTGGATTCAGACATTTCCCAACGGTATTTTCAAAGTAAACGAAAGGAAATCGTCCGGAGTTTAAACACCGATTCCGCTTTTCGGTGCTGACATTCATTTGTTGGAAATTACAGCGAGGGACATCCCTCCGTGTGACATTATAGTGAGAAATATTCCTCTGCTTGATATTACAGCTAGAGACATCACTCTATTTAACATTACAACGAGGGACACTCCTCCGTCTGACATTATAGTTAGAGATATGCGTCTGTTTGATATTACAGCGAGGGACATCACTCTGATATTACAGCGGGGGACATCCCTCCGTGTGACATTATAGTGAGAGATATCCCTCTGCTTGATATTACAGCGAGGAACATCACTCTGATTGACATTACAGCGAGGGACATCACTCTGCATGATGTTACAACGAGGGACATGCCTCCGTGTGACATTATATTGAAAGATATCCCTCTGTTTGATATTATAGAAAGGGACATCACTCTGCTTGATATTACATCGAGGGACATCCCATCCATGTGACATTATAGTGAGAGATATCCCTCTGCTTGATATTACAGCGAGGAACATCACTCTGATTGACATTACAGCGAGGGACATCACTCTGCATGATGTTACAACGAGGGACATCCCATCCATGTGACATTATATTGAAAGATATCCCTCTGTTTGATATTATAGAAAGGGACATCACTCTGCTTGTTATTACATCGAGGGACATCCCATCCATGTGACATTATAGTGAGAGATATCCCTCTGCTTGATATTACAGCGAGGAACATCACTCTGATTGACATTACAGCGAGGGACATCACTCTGCATGATGTTACAACGAGGGACATGCCTCCGTGTGACATTATATTGAAAGATATCCCTCTGTTTGATATTACAGACAGGGACATCACTCTGCTTGATATTACATCGAGGGACATCCCATCCATGTGACATTATAGTGAGAGATATCCCTCTGCTTGATATTACAGCGAGGAACATCACTCTGATTGACATTACAGCGAGGGACATCACTCTGCATGATGTGACAACGAGGGACATGCCTCCGTGTGACATTATATTGAAAGATATCCCTCTGTTTGATATTATAGAAAGGGACATCACTCTGCTTGTTATTACATCGAGGGACATCCCATCCATGTGACATTATAGTGAGAGATATCCCTCTGGTTGATATTACAGCGAGGAACATCACTCTGATTGACATTACAGCGAGGGACATCACTCTGCATGATGTTACAACGAGGGACATGCCTCCGTGTGACATTATATTGAAAGATATCCCTCTGTTTGATATTATAGAAAGGGACATCACTCCGCTTGATATTACATCGAGGGACATCCCATCCATGTGACATTATAGTGAGAGATATCCCTCTGCTTGATATTACAGCGAGGAACATCACTCTGATTGACATTACAGCGAGGGACATCACTCTGCATGATGTTACAACGAGGGACATGCCTCCGTGTGACATTATATTGAAAGATATCCTCTGTTTGATATTACAGACAGGGACATCACTCTGCTTGATATTACATCGATGGACATCCCATCCATGTGACATTATAGTGAGAGATATCCTCTGCTTGATATTACAGCGAGGAACATCACTCTGATTGACATTACAGCGAGGGACATCACTCTGCATGATGTTACAACGAAGGACATGCCTCCGTGTGACATTATATTGAAAGATATCCTCTGTTTGATATTATAGAAAGGGACATCACTCTGCTTGATATTACATCGAGGGACATCCCATCCATGTGACATTTTAGTGAGAGATATCCCTCTGCTTGATATTACAGCGAGGAACATCACTCTGATTGACATTACAGCGAGGGACATCACTCTGCATGATGTTACAACGAGGGACATGCCTCCGTGTGACATTATATTGAAAGATATCCTCTATTTGATATTACAGAAAGGGGCATCACTCTGCTTGATATTACATCGAGGGACATCCCATCCATGTGACATTATAGTGAGAGATATCCTCTGCTTGATATTACAGCGAGGAACATCACTCTGATTGACATTACAGCGAGGGACATCACTCTGCATGATGTTACAACGAGGGACATGCCTCCGTGTGACATTATATTGAAAGATATCCCTCTATTTGATATTACAGAAAGGGGCATCACTCTGCTTGATATTACATCGAGGGACATCCCATCCATGTGACATTATAGTGAGAGATATCCTCTGCTTGATATTACAGCGAGGAACATCACTCTGATTGACATTACAGCGAGGGACATCACTCTGCATGATGTTACAACGAGGGACATGCCTCCGTGTGACATTATATTGAAAGATATCCCTCTGTTTGATATTACAGACAGGGACATCACTCTGCTTGATATTACATCGAGGGACATCCCATCCATGTGACATTATAGTGAGAGATATCCCTCTGCTTGATATTACAGCGAGGAACATCACTCTGATTGACATTACAGCGAGGGACATCACTCTGCATGATGTTACAACGAGGGACATGCCTCCGTGTGACATTATATTGAAAGATATCCCTCTGTTTGATATTATAGAAAGGGACATCACTCTGCTTGATATTACATCGAGGGACATCCCATTCATGTGACATTTTAGTGAGAGATATCCCTCTGCTTGATATTACAGCGAGGAACATCACTCTGATTGACATTACAGCGAGGGACATCACTCTGCATGATGTTACAACGAGGGACATGCCTCCGTGTGACATTATATTGAAAGATATCCCTATTTATATTACAGAAAAACTCTGCTTGATATTACATCGAGGGACATCCCATTTGATATAGTAGATATCCCTCTGCTTGATATTAAGCGAGGAACATCACTCTGATTGACATTACATCGAGGGACATCCTGCATGATGTTCCATGCCTCCGTGTGACATTATATTGAAAGATATTATAGAAAGGGACATCACTCTGCTTGATATTACAGCGAGGACATCCCATTCATGACATGATAGTGAGAGATATCCCTCTGCTTGATATTACAGCGAGGAACATCACTCTGATTGACATTACAGCGAGGGACATCACTCTGCATGATGTTACAACGAGGGGTGTGACATTATATTGAAAGATATCCCTCTATTTGATATTATAGAAAGGGGCATCACTCTGCTTGATATTACATCGAGGACATCCCATCCATTATTATTGAGAGATATCCCCTGCTTGTTTGACATTACAGCGAGGGATGTTATTGACATTATATTGAAAGATATCCCTCTGTTTGATATTACAGACAGGGACATCACTCTGCTTGATATTACATCGAGGGACATCCCATCCATGTGACATTTTAGTGAGAGATATCCCTCTGCTTGATATTACAGCGAGGAACATCACTCTGCATGATGTTACATCATGCCTCCTGTGTGACATTATATTGAAAGATCCCTCTGTTTGATATTATAGAAAGGGACATCACTCTGTTTGATATTACATCGAGGGACATCCCATTCATGTGACATTTTAGTGAGAGATATCCCTCTGCTTGATATTACAGCGAGGAACATCATGATTGACAACAGCGAGGGACATCACTCTGCATGATGTTACAACGAGGGACATGCCTCCGTGTGACATTATATTGAAAGATATCCCTCTATTTGATATTACAGAAAGGGGCATCACTCTGCTTGATATTACATCGAGGGACATCCCATCCATGTGACATTATAGTGAGAGATATCCCTCTGCTTGATATTACAGCGAGGAACATCACTCTGATTGACATTACAGCGAGGGACATCACTCTGCATGATGTTACAACGAGGGACATGCCTCCGTGTGACATTATATTGAAAGATATCCCTCTATTTGATATTACAGAAAGGGGCATCACTCTGCTTGATATTACATCGAGGGACATCCCATCCATGTGACATTATAGTGAGAGATATCCCTCTGCTTGATATTACATCGAGGAACATCACTCTGATTGACATTACAGCGAGGGACCATCTGCATGATGTTACAACGAGGGTGTGTGACATTATATTGAAAGATAGATATACAGCGAGGGACATCACTCTGATATTACAGCGGGAGACATCCTCCTGCTTGATATTACAGCGAGGAACATCACTCTGATTGACATTACAGCGAGGGACATCACTCTGCATGATGTTACAACGAGGGGCATGCCTCCGTGTGACATTATATTGAAAGATATCCCTCTGTTTGATATTATAGAAAGGGACATCACTCTGTTTGATATTACATCGAGGGACATCCCATTCATGTGACATTTTAGTGAGAGATATCCCTCTGCTTGATATTACAGCGAGGAACATCACCTGATTGACATTACAGCGAGGGACATCACTCTGCATGATGTTACAACGAGGGACATGCCTCCGTGTGACATTATATTGAAAGATATTTGATATTACAGAAAGGGGCATCACTCTGCTTGATATTACATCGAGGGACATCCCATCCATGTGACATTATAGTGAGAGATATCCCTCTGCTTGATATTACAGCGAGGAACATCACTCTGATTGACATTACAGCGAGGGACATCACTCTGCATGATGTTACAACGAGGGACATGCCTCCGTGTGACATTATATTGAAAGATATCCCTCTATTTGATATTACAGAAAGGGGCATCTCTCTGCTTGATATTACATCGAGGGACATCCCATCCATGTGACATTATAGTGAGAGATATCCCTCTGCTTGATATTACAGCGAGGAACATCACTCTGATTGACATTACAGCGAGGGACATCACTCTGCATGATGTTACAACGAGGGACATGCCTCCGTGTGACATTATATTGAAAGATATCCCTCTGTTTGATATTACAGCGAGGGACATCACTCTGATATTACAGCGGGAGACATCCCTCCGTGTGACATTATAGTGAGAGATATCCCTCTGCTTGATATTACAGCGAGGAACATCACTCTGATTGACATTACAGCGAGGGACATCACTCTGCATGATGTTACAACGAGGGACATGCCTCCGTGTGACATTATATTGAAAGATATCCCTCTGTTTGATATTACAGACAGGGACATCACTCTGCTTGATATTACATCGAGGGACATCCCATTCATGTGATATTTTAGTGAGAGATATCCCTCTGCTTGATATTACAGCGAGGAACATCACTCTGATTGACATTACAGCGAGGGACATCACTCTGCATGATGTTACAACGAAGGACATGCCTCCGTGTGACATTATATTGAAAGATATCCTCTGTTTGATATTACAGACAGGGACATCACTCTGCTTGATATTACATCGAGGGACATCCCCATCATTATAGTGAGAGATATCCTCTGCTTGATATTACAGCGAGGAACATCACTCTGATTGACATTACAGCGAGGGACATCACTCTGCATGATGTTACAACGAGGGACATGCCTCCGTGTGACATTATATTGAAAGATATCCCTCTATTTGATATTACAGAAAGGGCATCACTCTGCTTGATATTACATCGAGGGACATCCCATCCATGTGACATTATAGTGAGAGATATCCCTCTGCTTGATATTACAGCGAGGGACATCACTCTGCTTGATATTACAGCGCGTGACATTCCTCTGATTGACATTACATTACAACGAGGGAATATCATATTAATCAGTACATAATAATCAGTACCTTTACGGCCATGATTACCATCTTCGCATTGTCTCGTGTCAATATCCGATTGATTGTCAGATTAAGATGATAAAGAAATGTTTTACCTTATATTTCGTCAGCTGTAGCAAAACAATCATTGCTTTCATCAGCATCTTAAAATTCAAAATAATAGATAAAAACTAATATGAAAGATTTCTTTAAAATTCAATATTTATTTCGATACGCGTATTTTGATATCCATTTCTAGTCGAGTAAGTAATCGATTTTGTTGATGATAATTTTTACAATGAAACTTTATAGTTATTCAAATAACGTCATTTTCTGTCTTGAGAATGGTAACGACCTGAGCATTTAGATCACAACTTGGAAGAAAAGGAAAGGAAGCATATTTATAAAGTGAAATAAACATTGTGGATATTTTATAATAGTATATTTAAAAAAAAGATACGGTATTAAAATGTACCGGACACGAAATAGATAACTATTAAAATAGTTAATCTTGAAGAACATCTTACTCTCAAACAAAAGAAAAAAAATTCAAAGCTCAGCAGAGTAAAGAAAAGGAATCTGTCCGTGAAACATCGTCGTGTATCACTGCTCGCATATATATATATATATATATATATATATATATATATATATATATATATATATATATATAATGGTATCAAAATCCGTTACCCAGAGTTTTCTACGATAACACAATCATCAAGCGTATAAAATTTATTCACTCGCATGAAACTGAGTAGCGGATTTTAATATTACTGTATTAATAATATTGCAATATATCTTAGTGCTGTTATTAAACTGATTAAGAAAGACGCCATAGTTTTGGTTATTTCTTTTATATTCCCAAGTAATTTTAATCTCATACAAGATGATGTTCAGGAGTAAATTGCTAAGACAAATAATTTATGTAATTAATGGTTGTAAATTGTTTTTTGTAAATGCGCATAAGATACTCTCCGTTATAATCAATTTAAAAATTAACGTTAAGAATCCGTAAGGGGTGATTAACTTAATTATATCTTTTATTATTAATATTTTAAAATACTCAACCTGCAATTTAAAAAAAAAATTAGAATTTGAGCATCCGAAAAAATTGATTTTATAGACATTTTAAAACGTTGCTATACTCATAATTAACCTTATTTAGTCTTAGTAACTTTTTTTTTTTATATAGAGTGCTTCAAGAATTTGAAGCTTTTGTTTTTTTATTTTCATGGTGGAGTATATTTGTATTGTCAATTAATATTTCTCTAAAACGTAAATGTGAACAGCAATATTCCTTTAAATGTTGTGGAACAGAACTTGAATCAGACATGTGTCAAGTGAGCTTTCTAGATAATGTAGTCGTCGTGAAACCGACATATATATTTACTTTTTTTGTCAGAGATACAATCTCCCAAATGATATTTAAACTGATATACAATGCTGGTCTTTTGCAAAACATTAGTTGATAGAGAAGAGTTATTGCGGATGATTAAGTTGGTTGGATTAAATTTAGTATAATATATAATTAGTTTTATTTTTTTACTGTGTGGGATATATTAGTGCTTAGGATATTTTCATCTTGTTTGTAGTTATAGTGCATTTGATTGTGCTATATATGGGTTGATATGTTCAGTGTTATTTGAGGAAGTATTACGTTCTTTTTGGTTTATGTTAATATCTCTAATAACTCGTCTAATTTGTTCATCAACAATGTAATTAAGAAGGTCATTAGTAATGAGAGTTTGTTTAATTTTTTTTATTCCGTGTAGAAAATGTTTTTCGTGGAAGCTAACTTTTTCACGTTTTATTAAGTTTTGTATAATCGCTGTTTTGTAATAGTCAGGACATTCACTTTTTATAGATGAGAGCGCATGTGTTTATGTTAGTTAGTTTTTTATATGGGAAAGTAGTAAATGTATTATTATTGGTGTCTATCAATATATCAAGAAAAGGAATTCTGTTGTTATTGTTAAATTCATATGTGAATTTAAGAAATGAGTTTTTTGTGGTTCATGTATAAGATGAAAATATCGTCTACATATCTTAAGTAGATGAAGGTTTTTTTTTTATATTTTATTAAATATCTTATTTTCAAGGGTAGACATTTAGAAGTTAGTAAATGTTGGTCCTAGAATTGAACCCATGGAAACGCCATTACGTTGTACGTAGATATTATTTTGATAGTCATAGAAGGGAATTTCACTGGTACAAGTCAAGAGTATTTGGCCATGTAGAAGTTAATAAATGTTGAATAAATTGAACCCATGGAAACGCCATCATGTACGTAGATATTAGATGATCATAGACAGGAACCTCAATGGTACAAGTCAAAAGCAGTTTCCGTAGTATATTAGGTTTAATTTTTAATGGGGGGGGGAGAGATAAATTGTTGTAAATATTCTTTCTAAATATATCAATCGTTTCTCTAACTGGGACATTGGCAAATAAACTTTCAATATCAAGTGAAGCTATGGTTTAATTATGAGGGTTTTGCATTTTTAAGATTTGAACTAGTTAGTGAGTCGATTTAATGCTGTATTTATTAGGTATATATGGTGTAATTAATTGGTTAATGATTTTGGTTAATGATTTTGGTTAATTGATAAACAGGAGTAGGAATTTGGGATATGATAGGACTGAGAGGGAAGTTAGGTTTATGTATTTTTATCGTTCCATACATGTATTCTGTTATGTCGTCATCAATTATTTTGGGAAGTTTTAAGTTGTCTTCTGCATTGTTGGCTGTGATCAGTTTGTTGATTTTTAATTTCAGTTGGTTGGGATTTTTGTTGGTTTTTTAAAATTTGGTATGGTCATCAAGTATTTGTTGTAATTTTGAATTCTAATACAGCTGCAGATGTCGTATAAGCCAATGTCATTTGTTAACTCCCTTTGGTATATTTGTCTGCGTCATAAGGACAGTTTATGAACCAGTAAAAACTATATAGGTGGACGGTGCAAAATCTCTCCATGTGAAAGTGGGCGATGACGTAAAAATGGTTGGGGACTCTACTCTAGTATTGTTTATCCTGGAGAAAAGCAGAGCCCGTTGGTAAGAGACGTTGAAAAGAATTGTGTAGCGCATAAAAAAAACTAGTAGGATATTCGTGCGGTTAGTTTTACTGAAAATGCTGCTACAAAATCTAACGTGCAATGAATGTTGTCGTGTCTAAGCAGAGCAGGTCTCGAAAATCATCAAAGACGCTACACACAGGGCGAAGTGGTTCATTGCACGTTTTACAGCATTTATGTAACAACTGTTACAAAAGACGTTGCCACATCTTTACAAGACAATGTAAGACCCTACCAGGAATAAGAGTTACGTCCGTGCGCTCCCCGTATTTAAGGATGGATCGTGCTATGGCGTTGCTCGAAATCGAGTCGTAGCCATCATATATGTATATTGATCATTAGAACAACGTGAAAAGGACAATATTTAATGGCGAGTTATATTCAGCCATATTTCTAAACTTTTCGCTTTTCTATTTTATACGGCTTTCGAACTTTGAGGCAACAGTTGTAGGGAATCTGCAGTCTGCAATTGACAATCATGCCACCGATAACAGCTGTACCGGCTTAATGTTGTTTGCGTATTGTAGAGGATAATTATCTCGCTTTACAGAGTTTTGATTAACTTAGGGTAAAGTGTGGTGGTGATTGATTGCAAGGATGAACTGGTGTTACAGGTCAAATAACAGAGAATTAGATCGATAAAAAGCGAGAGGGAGAGCGAGATTTTGGCATCTTTTAAAAGATGCTGACTCTGCAGCTGATATGAAAATAAAGGAAAATTTAGTGTGGTTCAAATTCACAATAAACGATTTAGAAGACAACTTTTGTAATCATCACTATACGATAGGAACCTTTCGCTTACGTGGGGCAAGTCTGGCAAAAGGCGATGACTTCAGCGCATTCAGTATAGATCGAATTCACAAGCACTAATTTGCGAGGTGTTTCGTAACCATCGCTTTTATGAAATGCGTCTTTTATATAATCTAGAGGAAGTGTGGAACAAGGCTTTACCTTCACAGCATTCAGTGTGGATCAGATTTGCAAGCAATATTTCCCCACCCCTAAAAGTGCTTAGATATTTATCGGAATGTGGCACATAGAGTCGAGTATAAGGTGGGAGTTCAAACAGACATGAGGTTTTGGGTTTTTTAATCGATTTCACATTAAGCAAGGCACTAAAGCCACTAAGACACAGGGTGTTACTGGATGTGGAAGAATCGGTAGTAGAAACATTACTAATGACCAGGAAGAGAAGAAAGTAATCAGGAGGACAGTAAATAGCGATTGACACTGCATTTAAATTTTTGAAGATTTAATTTGGTTAGAAAGTATTCAGCTGGAAAGGAGTTCCACAAGCGAGAAGTGCGAGAAAAGAAACTGTTAGCATAGAAGTTACATCTAGCCAGCTCAACTGTAAATTAATGAGATCTCGACGCCACTCTGGCACTGCGCTTAAATTCAAAATGTCTATGTACCATAGCAAAGAGCCCCCTTCTAAATCAAGAACAGATCGATATTTGCACTGCGCTTAAATTCTTAAAGTCTAGGTACCATAGCGAAGAAGACATCCGAACCATTAC